TGACTATGGACACTCACCAGAATCCGTCGTCTCTGGAACGCAGGAAATTTGGGTTCCAGGATGACAATCGAGAAGGATTATTGTACGTTGATCAAGGAAACTCATCGGAAAAAATGAATCCCCAATTACAGTTAGCTTTTTATACGTAAATATATGCATACATTATCTCTCTCACGTGTAATCTTCAAAAATTTTCGATTCAACATCTACATACCTTTTTTCAGGACAATTAATTCTCGAAATAAAAATGTCATTATTATTCGCAAGGCGATTAATATCAAATCGACACCCAGGACTAACTGTAATGCTTCACAGTTACCAGCGACAACTAGAAAAATGTTCCGTGCGGAACAATATTTTTATTAGATCTTTTAATAATTATACTCCAAACATACGGTTTTTTCGAATGTTCGAAAACGCCGGCGTTAGCGAGCATAAAATGTGTCCTGTGAATCAGGCAAGAAATTTTTCTCACTCTAAAGGTAAAATTACCCGGGAATGAAAGTGCATTAAAAGAGCGTGTTCTTATAATTTTCAATCATTTATTTCGAAAACGGATAGTGACTAATCATAAGGAGATCTCACCGCCGAAGGAAGACGAGGGGTAGGGTAAATTCGATTCCTGGTTCGATAAAGTATTCACTTTTCTTATCATTTACATCGCGCAAAGACAGTTTCTAACCGGGATTAATTTTTAGTGTAAAAATCAACTTTATTACGCGCGAAGGAGACAAAATATCAATAATGGCAAATGAAGGGGATAGCATTATGGACATAACGCAGGCTCATGACATTGACCTTGAATGTTTGTATTAAAAGCGACCAACATTAATCATGATAAAGAGTAATCGAGCAATTTTTTATTATTAATAGGCGCATGTGAAGGATCGTTGGCGTGTTCTACTTGTCATGTTATAGTTGAGCCCGAATACTACGCGAAATTGGAAGAGCCGTCAGATGAAGAAAATGATATGTTGGATTTGGCATTTGGATTAACCGAGACGTGAGAGACTCGAAGATTTTGATG